TCCGGCCTCTCCCCGTTCGCGGGCCCTGGCGTTACCTCCTGGGGCCCGTGGGTGTCCCACGTCTGTCTGCTGTGGAGGGGCTGTTGGGCTCGTGGTGTTGCCTCGGCCTTTTTTCCCGGGTGTTGTTATAAACCGCTTCCGCTGTAGAGGTGTTTCTGGTGAGTCCCTCAGGGACGGCTGGAGTCAGAGCGCAGTTACAGCCCCGTTTCCCATCCCAGCATTAAAGCCACTCGCTCACCTGAAGTGCTGGGCGAGTGCTGCCTCGCAGGCTGGCTGTGCTGCCAGCCAGGGCAGCTGGGGCCTCCTTGGGCAAGGAGTTACCTGTGCCTGGGAGGGATATGGTTAGGAGCAAGGGTTTGGGAGTGTGGAGAGGAAGGCTGTTATACTAAAAAAGCTCTCGTGTGATTAACATAGGACGCTGGAAGCAGCTGTTGTGGGTTTAGTCCTGGTTGTGGCATGCAGGCATTTTCTAGATCTTAAAATTGTTTACTCTGAGCCTCAGTTCTCCTGTGTGTACATGTATGTATTCTCTATATGTAAAAATGATACTTAAATATGGAATTATACTCTGGAGTTTGTGCACGTTTGAGCTCAGCAATGAGAGAAAACATTGTACTTACCTCATTACATGAGATTAAATACTGTAACAACCTCTTTAATGAAAACAAAATGGACTTTTTTTTTTTTCCTTTCTGTTAGGTGCAGACATTGCTTCAGCAAATGCAGGACAAATTTCAAACCATGTCTGACCAAATAATTGGAAGAAATATCCTTTTTTAAAAGTCAGCTAGGTGCTAGACTCATGTTTCTGTAGTGTATTTTAAAGTATATCTATCAGTGGGATTTGTAAGATAAAGTGACCAGAAGAGTTTGAGCAAAGCTGTAATAAACAAACAAAAATCCCTGCCACTGCTAGATCACAATCATTGTCCTTAACTCCAGTGAACTTGATGACATGAGCTGTCGCATAGATGACCTGGAGAAGAACATAGCAGACCTCATGACGCAAGCGGGAGTGGAAGAATTGGAAGGCGAGAACAAGACCCCTGCTCCTAACAAGAGTTAAAGTGAGACAATTGCTTGCTAGCCTTGAAACAAATCCTCGGTTCACTTGAAATTACTGACTCTAAAGTAGATGGACTTTTTGCTTTGATTTGTGAGGTAGTCTGAAATTCATGCAGAGCAGAATTATATATATAGAATTGTACTCTCTCTCTCTCTCTCTAGTTATAATATATGTTATAATACAAGAAGCCTTAAGAAGCTCTCTTCAGAAGGCTCCTACTAGCTGCTTCACTGAGGATGTTTTCCTTATCAATACTGGGGGGAGAGTTATTTTCTTGATGTCTAGTTAGTTTTGAGGAAGTGCAACAGCGGTATTCATCTTCTAGTACTCTGAGGGAGATCTGAAATAATAACTGTCTTTTGCAGCATGGGAAGGAGAAGAGATGGGGAAAAACATCAGTAACAAACCAAGCTGTTTTCTTTTTGTTTGTTTCTTTTTTCCCTCTTATCATATTTGAGTGTTTGAAAAGGACCATAATCTCATGTACATTACCAACATCAGCTCCGGTTTCTGTAGCTGGAAAGCTAGTGTTAGCGTGCTGCTGCTCTTCCATCTTCTGCTGCATCCTGTAGACTTCAGCTTCTACTAAGCTGCTAAAGACAGTAGACTTGCTGCTGTGCCCAGGGGCTAATGAGCGAGTTACTGTCCATCAGCTGTAAATTCCTCCTCTGTAAGTTAGGAGCTTGCTAGGAATACGTGACTTGCAGATACCGCTGCAAAGCAGCAGGTCCTGACTCGAACACTGTAAGACAAAACTCAGGCATGAGGCAGGGCATATTCTAGGGCAGCACTCCCTGGAAAAAGAAATTTTTTATTGAAAGGTAAATGTGATATCATACATTATTCTTATGTAACTTCTTAATTGATAACCTGCCCCTGTGTTACACAAAAACATTGGAGAAGTAGGTATTTCATCTACTTGGCAAGCAGCAGTTCAAAGTCTAGTACAAAAATGTGTAAATAAATTCAAGTGACCAGGTGACCACACACAGCATTTACAACAATTCCTAAAGGCATTTCAGAAGGTGGGGGCAAAGCAAGTGTGACAAAACTGTTACAACACAGACGGGGGCGGGGGGGGTGGTGCTTAATTATGGTGTATGAGCACAAGGATTTCACTTCAGTTTGTATAGAGCTTGATTTTTGTAATCCATGGAAGGCAACTGCTAAATAAAGTACTAGATGTGTCATGTTAGATTAACTTTTTTTTTTTAAAAGACAGACATGCCTTGGCCTCTCTTAGGCTTGAGATTCTGAGGTCACATCTGGAATACTACGCAGCCTGTATAGTAGGCATGTGTGTTTGAAACAGGTATACGTCTCGCTGGTTTTTGTGATACTTTGACAGAAATACAAATTATTATGGGCTTCACTGCCCGCAGTGCCAGTTCCCTTAGCCTGAACACCACAAATGAAAATTTCTGATGACCATAACTCTCTTAATTCTTCTCAGTAACACTTTTTTTTTGATTGTTGTTCCCCAACAGGTTGCCAATAACGTAAGAGGAATCCTGGAAGACTTCATTTTTTTCTACAAATCCTTGGAATTACAGAACAGCTTTTTGCAACTACTGTGTGTAAAAGCATTTTTATATTGTTACAGAGCTTGCATTCCTAATGTATATTGTATAGTTAGGGATAGGTTAGTTTATATTTTGATTTGTGTACTGTAATTTCACTTTTTGAATTCTTGTTATGAGGATCAATTAGTTGTGTTATTAAAACACAGATCTTACGGATCTCGACTACTGGGTGTATTTTTTGTGAAGTCACTTTTTTTTCTCTTTCTTATACTTTTTCTAGACATTTCATTTTTGATAGCTAAACATCTCGTGACTCCCATTAAGTGGAAATCTTAACTTGTCCTACGTAACTTTGTGAAGTGAAGCACAAGACTGAAACTTGGCATTAATCTTAGCTCTGAGCATCAGTCAGTCAACTAGTTGAGGACTGTGTGTTGTTTTCTCATAAATGTAATAATGTGATTTTGGAAGCATAGGACACTGAACATCAAAGTCGTATCTCCTACTCCTGGTATTAGCTTACCTGTCTGTTCCTAGAACATAAATCAGAAATACACATTTAACATTAGAGACATCCGTACACAGTTGAGCAACCACTGCCATTCAAATCTGTTATATTTAAACAGACAAGGAACTATTAACTATGAAAAATCTCGCTGTAGGATCTAAGTTTTTTAACACTGTAAAACTCTACTCTGAAAGTGACAATGTGTCGTTTCCCATCACCTTTGAACAATAACTACGGTTCAAATAGTGATACCAGACGGAACAGGGAGGGGGTTGTGGGAGTGCCTCTATGTGGTCTTTCAATTTAAATCGCTGGTTCCTTGTACAAAACAGTTTGCTAACAAAGCAATGGTATATTGAATAACAAAAAAGGAGATAATTCAGTTAGAATTGTAAAGCCTTGCTTCTCTTTGAGTAACAGCTAGCAAGAACTCTTCAAAATACTTGGTTTAGAATGGTGTTTGCTTTTTTAATCATGTCCACATTTACAGGTCTGGAGTTTAATGGATTACATTAGAGTATTTTGGCGATGAGAAGTGTCTTTAGGAGAGTTTGTACTATGTCACTTGTGAAGAAAAATGACCAATGTCGGGTATTACTGACAATCATTGCAATGCTCCTCCAGCTTAAAATACAAACTGAAGAAAGCAGTAGTGGCAGTCCGCAGTTACATGTGGACCACACTTAAGACTGCTCTTTGAACGCCACCAAATTAGCACCTGTGTATTACAAAGGCAATATGACAGGTCATTTTTCAAAACTGAGGGGAAATTGTAATAAAAGCTCATAATAATAGGAGAATTTTGTGAACATAGGAAATGTATCAATATACCTTGTAATACCAGCCTTAGGCTCTTTGTAATGTCATGTAAAGAAAATCTAATAAACTATTATGTGGTAACAAATAGTCAGGTCATATATATTAAAACAAAATTTAGCATAAGTGTATCATCATGTGAGATTGTGTTTAGTTACGTTATAGAAAGACTTTAGCACAGCTGCTGCTTATGGAATATAGTCTAGAATATAGGTGTGTACTGTATAATAAAAGGGTGAGGATTTTTCATGCCCTGTCAAATCTGGATTTTACCAGGTAATTACAATATAGGCCAAATTCATAGGGAAGTATATTAAATTGGAGGATCATTTTGTATGATGTATATACAGCTATAAATTCTCATCTGTCCACCTTCATCCTGTAGGAGAAATGGTCATTCTTGAATTTGCTTGCACTATCCTGTATACAGCAGTAGTAAGCCTGCTTTCCTGAAGTCTATTGTGTCCAGAGAACTTGCTGGAAAATTATTTCACCTTTAAGAAGAAGCTGGATTCTTCAAGTCACTGGAAAGATTTGAATCACTTTTCAGTAAGGACAGTTTTCCCCCATAAATTTAACACTTAACTGATTTTGAAAAGTAACGATTCAATTCAAAACAAGCCTTTCAGACAGGAAGGTATTATTTGTAGCTCTTTAAATACTGCATGTTTTTGAGAAACATGTTTTACTCAGGACCAGTGACAGAGCTTCTACATATGAACAGCACATGCAAGCCAAAGTACAGTCCCTTTTGGCCACATTTTGTTGAAGTGCAGTTAGTGTAATAGACAAAGCAAAGCAGAAGACTGTTCTTAAGTGTTAACTTTATATGGATTTGATAACACTTTACAAAATAATTTTTGTTTGTTTGTTTGTTTTTGTGAATATGCTGGTTTGCATCTTACCTGACAAATACTTGTCCCTTCCACTGGGCTGCCTCACTTGCAAAGAAAAGGATCAAGCTCTTGAACAGGGACTGTCTCCCGTATTGGAATGTGAAGAAAGCTGTTCCATATATTCCTTTAAATCAAGCTCTGTGCTGTGTTCTGTTTAGGACTGTCATTTGAGACCGCATCTTGCATTTTTTAATTATTTATCTCTATGCTAAAATCTATATAAGCACTTTCTACTTTAAGAGATATTTTCTGCTACCTGTCTTGGATTTTATCATTGACGTACTTGCCTCCTACAGCTTATTTTCACTAACGGTTACAGATTACATGCGCCCTACTCTGGTTTCCTTGTTCCTGCTGTGTTTTCCAGTTTGCAATTCAAAGCTGGTGTAACTTTGGGCAGACCTGCTGTAATTTGTAGGCACAGCAGACCCACGCTATGGCAGCAAAATTGTCTGCTCCGCCTGTGTGAGCAAGCATGGGCATCTGCTCACACCTGCCTCCTGCCTGCCTGCCAGGGGGAAAAGGGTTTCTGGTGTAGTAGGTGCCATCTGGGAGGAGGTGAGGTAGATGGAAAACACACTCCCTTGAACTTGCTGCTTCCTTCCTTCTTGCCTGTCCTCGCCCAAGCAGCAAGGAAGGGGATAGTAAAGCTACTTTTCGTAAGCGAGCATGAGGTGTGGAATTACAGAGAACAAGCAGAGAGTCTATGGGTCCTGCATTTATGGGGAAAAGGAAGAGCAGCTAAGGATGGAGAAGACAGACCTCCCCCTGCTCCTGTCTAAGTTCTTGAAGCTCTCCATTGTCTCTGCCCTCGCCTCTCACCACTTCAACTCCAGATTTCTGTTACCAGCATCCTCTTCAACCCCTCCTTTTCTTCCCCTCTGACTCTTCAGAGCTTAATTTCAGCTGTTACTGAGGAAAAACCATTGTTTCCAAACTGTCTCCAGGTAACTACTCAGTATGGACACTCTTGCACAAAATATCTACATTAGGAACAGCAAATAGAATAATTTTTTTCCTATGACAGGAATTATGAGTGCCACCATGCAAGTCTTCAACCGTAGTTTTCATAGCCCATCATTAATAGCAGTATTGTTTTCTGAATGCTAGACTTAAAGACCTGAGAACCCAGAAACAAGCTGAAGATCTCAGGAGCTGTGTGGCCTATGTATTTTACACTGGGCAACAGAAATAAATTTGAAACTCCTGTCTCATCATCTCTTCTGGTGTCTTAATTCCTGTCTTCATAGCAGTAATGATACTCTCTCAGTACAGAGGAACAGTGTTATAATAAATCCATGTTTTGAAACACTTAGGCCCACTGATAAGCGATCCAGAATTATGGTATCCTTAAGAGGATTTTTCATTTAATCTCTGCCCTAAAGACAATGTATGGTAAATAAGACCGCACACACACAAGGCAGCTCTTCAACTAATACCATCTGGTCCAGGCACTAAATGAAGCTGATTATAGGCTAGAGAGATGCGCTAAAGTACGGCACTGTCTGCAAGAGCTAGTTCCGAAGCCCGCCTTTCCCTGGGTTGAACCCAGGTCTCCCAGATGCCTGACAAGTACCGTTGCCTGCACTGCAGCCTGCTTTGGGACGCAGCTCATGAGAAATCACTTGGACTTCATCTTGCAAGTCTCATAATCTGTTGTTGGCAGGGGAGATGGGGAACATTTGTGCAAATTTGTGTTCTCTGTCCTCCTCTCGACTGTCTCAACACTCCCAATAAAGTACCCTTGGTTCCTTTCCCTAGATGAATGAAGCATGGGGAACTGGTTTGCCTGAGATGATTACTAGAAATCAGTAAGTGTCCTGACCTAACCCACTTGCCTTCCAAACCCTGGGAGAGTGCTGAACTCACTCAGTGGTTCTTCCTCCAAACTTCAAAGCTCATGAAACGAATTTCTTCATATTGTAAATACATTTGACACTGTGCCTTCAAAAAGAAAATAATTATGAATCTGTATGGTTTTGCTGTGAAACACTTGCAACTAAGGTCAGAGATACTCTCCATCCTCTCTCTCAAATTACAGCCGAGTCTGCAGTTTTTCTGGAGGTCTTCACATGGAATTACTTAATGAAGCGCTTTACTTTTCCTCAAGACGATAACTTTCTAGCAGCTAGTGCCTTCTAGTGGGCACACTCTCAGTACTAGAAGGAACACTACTCCGATTAATTATGTGGTTACTTTTAATGTACGAGTTCAGATGTTAGGACTTTAATGAGCCACATGCTGTTCTGAAATGCGGTTATTACACAAGACACTGAGGCTTTGTTTACAATTAAGAAAATTAATAGGATACACAAATCCCTTCCTGAGCTTTAAGCCTTACTGTGTTTTGAAAAGACCTGATGCTCACTGAGATTTTTTTTCCTGACTCCAATGTAGAGTTAATGAAATTAGGTCATTAGGAAAAAAAGTGTGGGAATAGAAACTTTACATCGTGTAAACACTCTGAGGTAAGAAAGGTTAAACAGGAATTGTCTCTGTGAAAAATGCACGTGTATTAATAGAAAGTGTTCTTTTATGTTATTTTGCTACACACTTGACATTTGTATTTATGAAGCTGTTGTAGTTAAATATATATGTAAAAATTTAATCAGTTTACAAAGCTGTAGATTGTACAATCCTTGCTCAAGACATTAAATCCTGTTCAAAATAGCAACTGGAGAAGTGACGGAGTTCAGTGTTTCTCAAGTCTTGGATTCACAGGTGTTCATATGACAAGGCTGGAGGGAAGACCCCTGACCCTTTTGTGCAAGCCTCCATACAGATATGGAAAATAAAGCAAAATAATCCATCGTCTTATGAGCAAAATGGAGAAAACAGGCAAAGGGCTACCTGGAAAGTGGGGGCAAAAGAGACAAGAAAAATTACTTAAGGCTTCACAGCAGATCAGTGGCTGAGCCAGGCCTTAGATTTAAATCTTTCTTAAGCGACCTGCAAAAGAACACTTCAGACCGACTAGGTCTGTCTGCCAAACCAAGTAGG